TGTCACTTGTAATACAAAAGATAATTGTTTTATTGGGGAAGTTTCATGCTAATTAAAATTTCACCTGTAGTGAATTGCACAATACACACTGAGCTATATACTGTGATAGTTTGGTCCATTTTGGACTCTCCGTCCAGGTCAGTTCTGACAGGACGGTTTGTTATTTTTAAAACAAAGCTGAAGTTGATGTGTAAAACGTAGATTCACTTCATCACGTGAACTTCTGAATGAAATTATTTTTCTTCCTGTTTAACGACTGTATGCAGCACAATCAATGAATTCCAGTTGAACTGCTGTGATCAGTGGATGTTTAGTGTAACTGAGCCTGTAGAAATGAGTTTATTCCTCTCCAGACAAGAACTGGCAGTAAATTAGACTTCAGATATTTATTATCATTGTGTCTGTTTGTTGATGGGTTGCTGGTTGAGAGGCAGCAGTGGTCCGATGCCAGATCGCTGAGCTCTCTGTCCAAACCTGCAGCTGTCAAACTGTCAACACATCCAAACATCTGCTGGGCGACCAGCCCGTCAGAGCTGTAGCAGGAAGAGGAGGATTACGGTTTGAGACGGTGCAAGTTGATCAGCGTTATCTGAGCCTCAGATTAAGCTTCAACACATTAATCCAAACTGGATCTCTTTCCCTGCCAACGCTTCTCGCTCACAGCGGTTTATTCCTTCATGTTCACACAGGCTTTGTGGATCCATTTTGTTTGTCATAAACTACTGCAGCATATTAAACTTTTATAAGGTTGTAAAATGAGACATTACTGATGTTACGCTGTAATATCAGACAATAATCTACAGACAATAATCTACTGTAAAACCAGACAATAAACTACAGACAATAATCTACTGTAAAATCAGACAATAATCTACAGACAATAAATCTACAGGCAATAATCTATTGTAATATCAGACAATAATCTACAGGCAATAATCTACTGTAAAATCAGACGATAATCTACAGATAATAATCTACTGTAAAATCAGACAATAATCTACAGACTAATCTATTGTAAAATCAGACAATAATCTTCTGTAAAATCAGACAATAATCTACAGACAATAATGTACTGTAATATCAGACAGTAATCTAGAGACAATAATCTACTGTAATATCAGACAATAATCTACAGACAATAATCTACTGTAAAATCAGACAATAATCTACAGACAATCATCTACTGTAAAATCAGACAATAATCTACAGGCAATAATCTATTGTAATATCAGACAATAATCTACAGACAATAATGTACTGTAATATCAGACAATAATCTCCAGACAATAATCTCCAGACAATAATCTACTGTAATATCAGACAATAATCTACAGACAATAATCTACTGAAAAATCAGACAATAATCTACAGACAGTAATCTACTGTAAAATCAGACAATAATCTACAGGCAATAATCTACTGTAATATCAGACAATAATCTACAGACTAATCTACTGTAAAATCAGACAATAATCTTCTGTAAAATCAGAAAATAATCTACAGACAATAATCTATTGTAATATCAGACAATAATCTACAGACGATAATGTACTGTAAAATCAGACAATAATCTGCAGACAATTATCTATTGTAATATCAGACAATAATCTACAGACAATAATCCACAGACAATAATCTAGAGACAATAATGTACTGTAATATCAGACAATAATCTACAGACAATAATGTACTGTAATATCAGACAATAATCTACAGACAATAATGTACTGTAAAATCAGACAATAATCTCCAGACAATAATGTACTGTAATATCAGACAATAATCTACAGACAACAATCTACTGAAAAATCAGACAATAATCTACAGACAGTAATCTACTGTAAAACCAGACAATAATCTACTGTAAAACCAGACAATAATCTACAGACAATAATCTACTGTAAAATCAGATAATAATCTTCAGACAATAATCTACTGTAAAATCAGACAATAATCTACAGGCAATAATCTACTGTAATATCAGACAATAATCTACAGACTAATCTACTGTAAAATCAGACAATAATCTTCTGTAAAATCAGAAAATAATCTACAGACAATAATCTATTGTAATATCAGACAATAATCTACAGACGATAATGTACTGTAAAATCAGACAATAATCTGCAGACAATAATCTACTGTAAAATCAGATAATAATCTACAGGCAATAATCTACTGTAATATCAGACAATAATCTACAGGCAATAATCTACTGTAAAATCAGACAATAATCTTCTGTAAAATCAGAAAATAATCTACAGACAATTATCTATTGTAATATCAGACAATAATCTACAGACAATAATCCACAGACAATAATCTACAGACAATAATGTACTGTAATATCAGACAATAATCTACAGACAATAATGTACTGTAAAATCAGACAATAATCTCCAGACAATAATGTACTGTAATATCAGACAATAATCTACAGACAATAATCTACTGAAAAATCAGACAATAATCTACAGACAGTAATCTACTGTAAAACCAGACAATAATCTACTGTAAAACCAGACAATAATCTACTGTAAAATCAGATAATAATCTAGAGACAATAATCTACTGTAAAATCAGACAATAATCTACAGGCAATAATCTACTGTAATATCAGACAATAATCTACAGGCAATAATCTACTGTAAAATCAGACAATAATCTTCTGTAAAATCAGAAAATAATCTACAGACAATAATCTATTGTAATATCAGACAATAATCTACAGGCAATAATCTACTGTAAAATCAGACAATAATCTTCTGTAAAATCAGAAAATAATCTACAGACAATAATCTATTGTAATATCAGACAATAATCTACAGACGATAATGTACTGTAAAATCAGACAATAATCTGCAGACAATTATCTATTGTAATATCAGACAATAATCTACAGACAATAATCCACAGACAATAATCTAGAGACAATAATGTACTGTAATATCAGACAATAATCTACAGACAATAATCCACAGACAATAATCTACAGACAATAATGTACTGTAATATCAGACAATAATCTAGAGACAATAATCTACTGTAAAACCAGACAATAAACTACAGACAATAATCTACTGTAAAATCAGATAATAATCTACAGACTAATCTATTGTAAAATCAGACAATAATCTGCTGTAAAATCAGAAAATAATCTACAGACAATAATCTATTGTAATATCAGACAACAATCTACAGACAATAATCCACAGACAATAATCTACAGACAATTATGTACTGTAATATCAGACAATAATCTAGAGACAATAATCTACTGTAATATCAGACAATAATCTACAGACAATAATCTACTGTAAAATCAGACAATAATCTACAGACAATCATCTACTGTAAAATCAGACAATAATCTACAGGCAATAATCTATTGTAATATCAGACAATATTCTACAGACAATAATGTACTGTAAAATCAGACAATAATCTCCAGACAATAATCTACTGTAATATCAGACAATAATCTACAGACAATAATCTACTGAAAAATCAGACAATAATCTACAGACAGTAATCTACTGTAAAACCAGACAATAATCTACTGTAAAACCAGACAATAATCTACAGACAATAATCTACTGTAATATCAGACAATAATCTACAGACAATAATCTACTATAAAATCAGACAATAATCTACAGGCAATAATCTACTGTAATATCAGACAATAATCTACAGACTAATCTACTGTAAAATCAGACAATAATCTTCTGTAAAATCAGAAAATAATCTACAGACAATAATCTATTGTAATATCAGACAATAATTTACAGACGATAATGTACTGTAATATCAGACAATAATCTGCAGACAATTATCTATTGTAATATCAGACAATAATCTACAGACAATAATCCACAGACAATAATCTACAGACAATAATGTACTGTAATATCAGACAATAATCTAGAGACAATAATCTACTGTAATATCAGACAATAATCTACAGACAATAATGTACTGTAAAATCAGACAATAATCTCCAGACAATAATCTACTGTAATATCAGACAATAATCTACAGACAATAATCTACTGAAAAATCAGATAATAATCTACAGACAATAATCTACTGTAAAATCAGACAATAATCTACAGGCAATAATCTACTGTAATATCAGACAATAATCTACAGACTAATCTACTGTAAAATCAGACAATAATCTTCTGTAAAATCAGAAAATAATCTACAGACAATAATCTATTGTAATATCAGACAATAATCTACAGACGATAATGTACTGTAAAATCAGACAATAATCTGCAGACAATTATCTATTGTAATATCAGACAATAATGTACTGTAATATCAGACAATAATCTACAGACAATAATGTACTGTAATATCAGACAATAATCTAGAGACAATAATCTACTGTAATATCAGACAATAATCTACAGACAATAATCTACTGTAAAATCAGACAATAATCTACCTACAATAATCTACTGTAATATCAGACAATAATCTGCAGTCAATAATCTACTGTAATATCAGACAATAATCTACAGACAATAATCTACTGTAAAATCAGACAATAATCTCCAGACAATAATCTACTGTAATATCAGACAATAATCTGCAGTCAATAATCTACTGTAATATCAGACAATAATCTACAGTCAATAATCTACTGTAATATCAGACAATAATCTACATACAATAATCTACTGTAATATGAAATCTACAGTCAATAATCACGTAATATCAGACAATAATCTACAGTCAATAATCTACTGTAATATCAGACAATAATCTACAGACAATAATCTACCGATGTTACGCTGTAAAAACACTTTGTTGAAGTTGAATTTGACTGCTGCTCCACACAGTGAGGAGGAGGAAATAGCAGCTCGTCATCTTGTGTGATGATTTTATTGAGTGGAGTTTGGTATGTGTGTGGAGCAGGACATCCCCAATAAAGAGACAGCAGTTGTTGGACATGAACAGGTGATAGTGAGTCTGTCCCTGTGTCCCTGCAGGCTGTGACTCTGGTTTCGGGAAGGCGACAGCGAACCATCTGGACGCTATGGGCTTCGAGGTGTTTGCCACAGTGCTGGACCTGTCAGGAGACGGAGCCAAAGAGCTGCAGAGGACCTGCTCCACCCGCCTCACCCTCCTCCAGGTGGACATCACCCAGCCGCAGCAGGTCCAACAGGCACTGCTGGACACCAAGGCCAAACTTGGCCTCAAAGGTAAAGACTGGCTGCTGGAGCCAAACCCTCTTGTCCTCTGATAAACAAAGCTTGTTTTATTTATTTGTTATTGTCCCACGTTAATGTTTAATTCATTTATTCTCAGATAGAGATACAACATCATCTGGCCATTTGATTGGGTTTATTATATCTGACAATCATCATCAATTAATTATCAATCAACAATCAATATCACTTAGTCAATATCTTAGGAATTTGTGACATTATCTGAGTGTACAATACCGTCTGAGAGTTAAAGTTTCGATTCTCTGCCTGGGCCCCGAGTCCGAACTTGACCCGACCCGACCCGCAGGCCAGGTTGGGCCGATATTTTCTGCCACTATCCTTGGCCGGGCCAGGCCTTGATCAAGCATTTGTGTTTTTTTGTTGTTTTTTTTATCAATACTTTATTAGCCTAATTGGGTGGGGAGAAAGCTATGGCATAATCAAAAATATATATATATTTTTTTTTTTAGCAAAGTTAGGCGTAAGTAACAAATGTGTCCAAAGTTGCACAAGTTTGGCTACAAAGTTACAAAATGCAACACGTGTCATGCGCAGCGTCTCTTCCACTCGCACACATCACACCGGACCGGGCCTCCCTGCCAATCGATTCCATTATGAATAAACAAACAACGCAGTTTACATGCTTCGTCCTTATTGCATTATTCATTAAGATGATTCTAAGCAGATTTCTGTAGTTCAAACAATTCAGAATTGTAGTTGAGAACATCAGTTATTACGGCCCACGTATTAAAAAATTCTCGGATTCTCGGCTTGGACTCATAATTACAGTTAATATGTCGGGCTGGGCCGGGCTCGGACCCAACGTGCACAGGCTCGGGTAGGGTCGGGCTTGATTTTTTGGGCCCAACCGAAACTCTACTGAGAGTGTCCAAAGGTATCTGAGTATCTGAGAGTATCTGAGTATCTGAGAGTAACTGAGAGTATCTGAGAGTATCTGAGTAACTGAGAGTGTCTGAGAGTGCCTGAGAGTATCTGAGAGTATGTGAGTGTCTGAGAGTAACTGAGTATCTGAGAGTAACTGAGAGTAACTGAGTAACTGAGAGTGTCTGAGAGTATCTGAGTGTCTGAGAGTAACTGAGAGTATCTGAGTAACTGAGTAACTGAGAGTGTCTGAGAGTATCTGAGAGTATCTGAGTAACTGAGTAACTGAGAGTGTCTGAGAGTATCTGAGAGTATCTGAGTGTCTGAGAGTAACTGAGTATCTGAGAGTAACTGAGAGTGTCTGAGAGTAACTGAGTAACTGAGAGTGTCTGAGAGTACCTGAGAGTATCTGAGTATCTGAGTAACTGAGAGTGTCTGAGAATGTCTGAGAGTAACTGAGAGTGTCTGAGAGTATCTGAGAGTGTCTGAGAGTATCTGAGTGTCTGAGAGTAACTGAGAGTATCTGAGTAACTGAGTAACTGAGAGTGTCTGAGAGTATCTGAGTAACTGAGTAACTAAGAGTGTCTGAGAGTATCTGAGAGTATCTGAGTGTCTGAGAGTATCTGAGTGTCTGAGAGTAACTGAGAGTATCTCAGTAACTGAGTAACTGAGAGTGTCTGAGAGTATCTGAGAGTACCTGAGTAACTGAGAGTGTCTGAGAGTATCTGAGAGTATCTGAGTGTCTGAGAGTAACCGAGTATCTGAGAGTAACTGAGAGTGTCTGAGAGTGTCTGAGAGTGTCTGAGAGTATCTGAGTATCTGAGTAACTGAGAGTGTCTGAGAATTTCTGAGAGTATCTAAGTATCTGAGTAACTGAGAGTGTCTGAGAGTATCTGAGTATCTGAGTGTCTGAGAGTATCTGAGTAACTGAGAGTGTCTGAGAGTATCTGAGTATCTGAGAGTGTCTGAGAGTATCTGAGAGTATCTAGGTATCTGAGTAACTGAGAGTGTCTGAGAGTATCTGAGAGTGTCTGAGAGTATCTGAGTATCTGAGAGTGTCTGAGAGTATCTGAGAGTATCTGAGTAACTGAGAGTGTCTCAGAGTAACTGAGAGTGTATGAGAGTAACTGAGAGTGTCTCAGAGTAACTGAGAGTGTATGAGAGTGTCTGAGAATGTCTGAGAGTAACTGAGAGTGTCTCAGAGTATCTGAGAGTGTCTGAGAGTATCTGAGTGTCTGAGAGTATCTGAGTATCTGAGTATCTGAGTAACTGAGAGTGTCTGAGAGTATCTGAGAGTATCTGAGAGTGCCTGAGAGTATCTGAGTAACTGAGATTGTCTTAGAGTATCTGAGAGTATCTGAGTATGAGAGTAACTGAGAGTATCAGTATCGGGTGGGGGGGTCATGTTTCACACACAGTAATCAGAGTCTCGTGGGTCACTGTGTGATTGGTTCAGATTGCTGACTTTACCTCCGAGTCATCTGAGGATACACAGTGTGTGTGGGTGGATGTAATAAAAGAACTGGAAGGAAAGGTCACTAACACACACTCCCATGCACTCTCTCTGGAACAGTGTGTGTGTGTGTGTGTGTGTGTGTGTGTGTGTGTGTGAGCCCCTCATTTAAGTTTTTATTTGATAATGAGTTTTTATCAGTGGGTCAAAGTGCAGTTCTCAGTTTACTGCTAGCAGGGAGACTCCAACTGTGGACACAGGTGACTTCCTACCTGGGTGGGTCTGCAGGTGTTCGGTGTTCTTTTCCTCGTTATCCAGAAAGCGTGGGATTCTGGGTCAGCCACTTCAGATAAGGGCGAGCGAGGCCTGTTTACACTCGCAGAACAAGAGAGCAAGAGGTTGACCTCATAGTGTACTGGGCCGTGATTACAGTCTTATCTACACACAGAGGGAACTATAGGTCACTGATGGAGGACAAAACACATCAGTTCTCACTGTACATTGAAGACTCACACACAAATGTTGGCGAATAATAAGCGATACTAAATCTTTTGGAGTATTTGCTTTTCTCACATTTATGATTTTTGAAGGCGAATTTTCAGTTATCCACTCAGATAGTATTTTGCTAGCTGTAATGTTAGCATGCAAGTGAGCTAAGTGTGGCCAGCCAGATCATCCACAGGAGTCTGGATAAAGCATGCTGACACTATTTTGCTGTTAGCTAGCTAGCAATTTGTCCACAACAGGGAACTGGAGAGGCAAAAATCAGTCCAGATTGTCACAATGTCCGTTATTGGGCACATTTTCAGACTCTAACGGTTGTGTTTATGGGTGTCCGGCAGGTCTGTGGGGTTTGGTGAACAACGCTGGAGTATGTGTGAACTTCGGAGATGCCGAGCTGTCCCTAATGTCGAACTTCCGTGGCTGCATGGAGGTCAACTTCTTCGGCACGTTGAGCATCACCAAGAGCTTCCTGCCGCTGCTGCGACAAGCCAAAGGACGCATCGTCACCATCTCCAGTCCCGCCGGTGAGTGTCCAACACACACACACACACACACACACACAGATTCTGTAATAAATCTTAATTGAATGTTCCAGAACAACTGAACCACAGATGAACCGACTGCTGCCTTCAAACTGCCAAATGAAACAAACAGTGCTGCTGCACGTCTCCCTGCCGTCTGTTTGTCCAACTTACCTCTGTCGTCTCGCCAGAACATCAGTGCAACCAAATCGATCACAAATGTTGGTTTGCCCTGACAGAAATAATGTGCTCAGCAGATTTCATGGTCAGATGCCTGTTAAACATGTGCAGGGCTTGAATTCTGGGCTGCGTGTGGTCGAGAGGAAGGTTCATCCTCCGGAGTATGGAACTAAGACATGACCAATTAATAAATTAAACATTATGAAATAAATGTCCATAATTGAATATATTTAAATGAACCAGAGATCATTTTAAGAATCTTTGGCACAGTGGTGCAGAGGTCAGCTGGCCATGTTATCATTATCTGTTACCTGAGTGGATATGTTAGTTGGCTAACGTTAGCTTCCCCAGCTAACGTGATCCGTGATGCTTACTTGTGTATTCTGACAAATGGTGTTGATTTTAGCCAACAATAAATTATGCTAACAGTTCAAAGCTAACGCTAGCTTTCTACTAGCCAAGATTGATGCGAAGCAGGGGCATCCAACTAGCTAACTATAGCTAAGCTAAGATGGGGTTGTCTTGGCTGCGCAGTATGGGTGGGTTTATTTCCCTGTTAGGTGTGTGATATGTAAAGCTCATAATGTGACAGTACAGGTGAGGCTGTTCCTGTATCATGTTCTACTCACAAAGGCTCCTTTATCTCACTGCCGGGGGGGACACCACAGATTTATACAGTCAGCCCCCGCCCTGTCATCAGAGGCATGTGTCTGTGGGTTTATACTCGTGCTGGTTGCCCACATTGAGCCTCCAGCTGATCCGGACTGTTTCCTGGATGCATGAGGCTCAAACCCCTTCAGCCCGCTGCTGTAAACGGATGGTGTGATGTCATTTCTGTGAACAGCCTGATTATTCTGCTGTTATCTTCACTGATATCTGCTGATTTGAATAACGCAGTGCCTGAAAGCAGCAGTCATCAGAGAAACCACAGAATGTAATATTTGACTGTCAAACTGAGCTTGGACGCACGTTTACTGATTCCAAATTGACCTTTTTAAAAAAAAAAAAGATTATAGATAAAACCCAACATAGAGACACAAGACTAGAATTACAGCTGCAAAGTGGACGACCTCCTGTTGGGTTTTGGGTATGAGTCCGTCTGGTCATGATACATGTGCGTACCAATTTTCATACATATCGGTGAAATGTGCCTCAGGGGTTGCTCTTTAGAATACTTACATTTTCACCAAAGCCAAATGTTGTGCCACCTTTCATGACTTTTTGAGTAAGTTGCAGCTTCCCTGGTAACACAAAGACAATGTCGTACCTGTGTTTTCAGGTGACCAGCCGTTTCCCTGTCTGGCAGCCTACGGGGCGTCTAAAGCAGCTCTCAACCTCTTCATCAACACCCTGCGACATGAGCTGGAGCCCTGGGGGGTCCGGGTCTCCACCATCCTACCCTCCTCATACAAGACAGGTAAAACCACACACCTGGCACACCTGTCATCCCGCAGGAAAACAATGGTTGTGCTGCAGGTGAGTTTCTAGCAACGCATCCCACTTATAGGCTACTTCATGCTGCTTACAAGGTTCATTATTAGAAGGTAGATGAGCTCAGTTCATGTGAATTATTGAAATACCTTCTGCTCCACAAATAAAACATTTGTTTGACATGCAAAATGCGACGCAGCAACTTTTAGGCACTAGTTCTTTCAGGTTGGCCTTCACCCAGACGGGGGCGTGGTCGTTCTGAAGACAGGAACCTGACGTATGGCTGCTCTCATTATGTCAGTATGTAGATATGTCGTGACCTGTAAATCCATGTTTAACCCTTTATAGGGTACCAAAATATGGCATAGAAGTGTAATAAAAACCGTCATAAGGAAATGACCATATATGGTTCCCCGCCCAATAAAGGGTTAATGTGCTCAAAGGCACAGCAAACATCCCAGGTTAACAGAGGGCAGTGAACTAAGAATGCAAATAAAAACAATATACAATTTGAAACTTTATTATTCCACAGGCCCTGAAACATTTTTTTTATTTTATCCCCTCACTCAGATTCTGAAAGCTGGGTGCGTAGGATGAGCTGTATAACACATTAAAGTTTATCAGATGTGTGGTCAACGGACTATCAGTCTTTTTGCTATTGAGTCATCAATGTTATGGTTAGAGGAAAACTGTAGTAAACTGTAGTCATGTTACGTCCCCAGAAACTCAGGAACTCATGTTTCAGGAGAACAACAACAACCAAACCTTTAGAAAACTGGAGGATGTTTGGAGGTCAGAAGCTGTTGATTCACAGTGAGTTCAGTACTACAAGAGTTAATATCAACATTAATGTAGCTATAAAATAACTAGCTAATGTAGCTAACTAGCTAATGTAGCTATAAAATAGTGCTAGTTAGCTAATGTAGCTATACAGTAATGCTATCTAGCTTACATAGCTATACAGTAGGTCTTTGTGCTCAGTGAGGCGTTAGAAACACTCGGCTCCGGCGGTGTCAGAAGAGAGAAAGCGTTTGATTGGATGCAGCATTATTATACGCCCCCAAGTGCAGGATGAGTCAAACTGTTTCCACTATTATCTATAAATTGCACATGTTCAGTTTTGTTTAGTCATACGCTGCTCGAGATATGCACACCATATATACACCATTTTACTGCATATTGCATATAGTGTATATATTTTTCATTATAGTCTTATATTTTCATAATATTCTTATTTTTTGATTCTTTATTGTACTTTGTACACTACATTCCCCAATGCTGCTGTGACTGATTTGAATTTCTCCTACGGGGAATCAATAAAGGAACATCCTATCTTATCAACTACTTTTTATTCAAGAAACTCTAAAATACCGTTAAGAATACCTGAAAACACCTGAAACAGGACTTCCTGTCCCTGTTGGACAGAAACTGGAGGACACGAGACGAATAAAGACAGAGATAAAAACACTGAAACATCCGTTTTGACTTCATGGAGACTTTAGAATGAAGGAGATGATTTGGCAGACGGGACAGAAAAGGTGACGAGTTGTGATGAAGTCATCGAGTAAAAGAAATCCGATCTGTGTGGTCCTGATTGGTCGGCAGCACTCTGCACTCCTCTTCCTGGTACTGTTATTTCCTCCAGGCCTTGTATATTGTGGTTTGGCCCCATGTGGATCCTGATGACAGGCCTCCTGCTGAGGAGAGTACTCTCATAATGAGGACCACATGTGGGACAGACCATCTGTTCTCTCGCACAGAAACTACTAATCGCTGAGTTTTGATTTTGAAACTCCTGCAGGATGGATGGATGTGATTATGGAGTCACACAGGGCCGATCGTCAGCCAATAGAAAATCTCCAGTTTTTCTTTATATGAGTTTAGGGACCACAACTGAAGCAGGTAATTGTGCTGTAGATATCAGGAGGTGTATAATCAGTGTCTGATGACTGATTGGACATAGCGGCGGTGATGTAAACAACGAGTTAGGCACACTTTATCCCGCTGTTCTCACTTTAATCCTGAAGGAACAGGTTTGTATTCAGACTCTTAATCCCGCTGTTACTCTGCCGGGTTTTGGAGCGGCTCTGTTTGGCTGATGGCCAACTAAGTGGATGAACTTTATCCAGACTTTGTGTTGACATCCTGCCGCAGACTCAGCTCTCACTGAGACAAGAGGGTTGTGCTGATTCACTGCTCTGCTCACAGTTTATACTCAGTGTGTACAACATGTGTTTCTGTGCTCAGGAACATTTATTGCTCTGTTGGCTGCTGGCTGATGTTCTCTCAATATCAAAATGCAGGCTGCTGGTGTTTACCAGGCAGGGAGGTCTGGTGTGTAGAAGCATCTTAGGGGGCTGTTCAGTTGTTGCGTCTTTTGTGCACACAAATATCTTGGATGTATTAAGAAGAACTGGATACATTTTACCATATCTTCCACATATGCTTCTGTATCGTGACTACTGCTAGCTGAGCAGCTCGCTTACGGTTTAGCCCTCCAATAACTTAAATGGAGACAAAATGATTTAATTATGTGCATCTTCTAGACTTTACAAATGTTAATGGATCAAATTTCGATCGAGAAACAAGTCATTTTGCTCCAAAAAATGTATCCATTGGTTTACAGCCACTTCTTTCACAATGCATTATGGGAAGTGGTGTCTCCACTATCCCCACTGTTTTAATGAACCAGAATATCCAAATACGGCTGCAGTATTGATCGGGGTCAGCGACGCCGTATTGAGGTCCTGCCCATACACCCGCCTGACTCAATGGCAAGACTCAAAGTCTATACTGCAGTCAGTCACCAGGGGGAGATAGAGAGGGAGAATCTATACTACAGTCAGCCACCAGGGGGAGATAGAGAGGGAGAATCTATACTACAGTCAGCCACCAGGGGGAGATAGAGAGAGAGTCTATACTGCAGTCAGCCACCAGGGGGAGATAGAGAGAGAGTCTATACTGCAGTCAGTCACCAGGGGGAGATAGAGAGAGAATCTATACTGCAGTCAGTCACCAGGGGGAGATAGAGAGGGAGAATCTATACTACAGTCAGCCACCAGGGGGAGATAGAGAGAGAGTCTATACTGCAGTCAGTCACCAGGGGGAGATAGAGAGAGAGTCTATACTGCAGTCAGCCACCAGGGGGAGATAGAGAGAGAGTCTATACTGCAGTCAGCCACCAGGGGGAGATAGAGAGAGAGTTCACGTGACCATTATCACTGTAATTACACGGTTTGGCCAGTGTGTCAAAGCCCGGCACTCTTCCAGGGCGGGTTGGTAAATACACGCAACGAGCATGTTCCAAACCCAAAGTGGCGCTGTTGCGGTGTGCATCCATCGTAGGCGCTCCTGTTTTTGATGTTTAAAAGTAACTTTACATAGTAACTAATTACTTTTTTTATGCAGTCATTGTTATTCTATAACTTTTGAGAGAAGCAACTAACTAACTAGTATTTTTCAGTAAATTGCACTATACTACATGTTGAACTCAACACTGACCTTTTTCTTTGTTTACATGAAAATAAACTATTAATATTAATATGAGTTCAGACTCTACAGGTGACAAATATTCATCACTCACATTAAGACAATTATTTTAGTATCTGGTCTTATTTTTCTGAAATGTTTAAATATACAAATGAGGTTTTATTTAATGCTAACTAAATCTGCAGACGCAAACAGACAGTTAAACAGCTAAATAAAAAAAAAATGTTTCTTTCATGAAAACCATGTTTTCTCAGTTTCCAGCAACAATGCATGCTGGGAAGTCTGTTAATGTGCTGACGATGTTTCCTTCAAGCCAAAATAACTAAATTTTAAGTTGAATAAACTTGAAATTCTAAGTTAATGTACTCTTAAACAACCGTGGTCAGTTAATTCAATTCAATTCAATTCAATTTTATTTGTATAGCGCCAATTCATAGCAGAAGTTATCTCAGGACACTTTTCAAATAGAGCAGGTCTAGACCGAACTCTTTATAACATTAACACAGCTGCAGTGTTTCAGTGGTTGTTGCCGTGGTAACCCTGCGCTCTGTTGCCCCTTGCAGGTCAATCCAGTAACCACAGCTACTGGGAGCAGCAGCACAAACAGCTGATGCAGAGTCTGTCTCCGGCGCTGCTCGAGGACTACGGCGAGGACTACGTGACCGAGACCAAGGAGCTGTTCCATAACCACGCCCGCCAGGCCAACCCCGACCTCAGCCCCGTCATCGACTCCATCGTCCAGGCACTGCTGGCGCCACAGCCGCAGGCACGTTACTTCGCTGGGCCCGGCGTCGGCCTTATGTACTTCGTACACAGCTACTGCCCCTTCAGCATCAGCAACCGCTTCCTCCAGAAACTGTTTGTGAAGAAGACCCTGATGCCGCGCGCTCTAAGGAAGCAGTCAGGCTTTGACCTGAATCTCCACAACAACAACAACAGCAACAACAACAACAACAACAACAACAACGAGGAGGAGGAGAAACTCAAGTAGCTGTGAGACGTAGAAACATGCCAACGGTTTCAGATAGAGGACCACTCGTGTAACGCACCCTAGAGCTGTATCCTGTCCTTCTGTATGTGGTGTTTTTAAACTGTTGAAGGGATCATCACCAAAACGGTTTCTGTTTGTTTCTGTATCGCCTAACCCCACCCGCCCCCCTAGGACACACCTGAAGGTCAGGGGGCGGGGCCTAGTAGAGGTGGATCAGTAAGATCAGCCGTACTGTACACACACCAAGAGAGTCACACTGACTTCATGTGCCTTCATCACAACAGAGATCAGCCGAGAGAATCCGACACTGCAGCAGCTGGTTTCTGACAGCCGAAACATATTCAAACATCCAAACACCTCATCGTCAGTGACATCATCAGTGACATCATTAGTGACATCATCAGTGACATCATCAGTCAGTATTACAACATCAGACCCAACTGGCCAAAATGGTTCAGCCAGTTCCATCCAGGATACACCAGTCAGACTCCAGATGCTGACTGAGCAGTTTGAAACAAATGCAACGCTTAAACGTACAGAAAGTAATTTCACACAGTGAAACAATGGCGGCTCTCCTGCTCACACAGGATCTGGTATTCCAGATAAACAGTAAAATGTGTTTGTGAACAGATTTGAGGAGAGAAATAGTCAACAACAGAATCTGGATCCATATCTGATCAGCACTGTTTGACAGTTTGATCTGAGTTTGGTTGAGCTGGACGGACTCACTGAGAATGAGCTGTCAATCACAAGGTAGCCCCGCCCTAAAACATACCTTGCTTTAGGGTCTGTTTTACTCTAAATGGGACCATCAGTTACTAAATGAACTGATATACTGTCAGTGCTGATTAACCAGAAGTTATGGTGCGTTCCTTTTACCTCAGAGTCTGAAGTCGGAGCTGGGAACTACAGTTTTCACAAGGAGCAGCCATCTTGGATTTTGAAGTCAGGGTTAGTAAGGTTGTTCTGACCGAGTTGGACTTCAGGGAGCTTTCTCTAGCTTTTTGGAAACGCACCATTATGGCAACTACAGAGAAGCAGGAAAACTACACATTTCTCTGGGTTTGATAATGTAAGTGCACAACTGGCTGTTGGTAATTAGCTGAGAAGGGAAGGAGTGTGTAACGTCTGTGTCTGGAGTGAATGGATGCAGGATATGTTAATGGAGATTTAGCTAACAAGAAGTTCAGAGTTCAGAGAGCGGGTTGGTCGCCCTCAGCCTCAGGTCAGCTGCCGTAGCAAACGTCCTAATGCTACAATATAGAACACAGGTTAGCCTTTTTAGACATTTCAATGTGGAAGTGTTACATGTTGTATGTTTAAGTTATCTGAAAGGAAAATAAAGGTGTGTGCGTCAGGGAGAAACAGCGGTGGACAGGCAGCGTGTGCAACCAGCCACTCAGATAACTGATGAACAGAAAACCTGGAGTCAGGCAGACAAGCTGTAGATGAGTAAACTCTAACTCACTGTCCCTCCAGGATCTGACAGGCTGTTTTGGGGATTGTTTCTAGCATTACGCCTCAGAAATACAAGTAAACTGTCTGACGATGTCACCATGTCCTCAGAAACCAACCCAGGGAGTAAAGCAGCAGATTCTTCCTTTAAAGATGTCCTGTAACTGCAGGGAGTGTAAACTGAGAGCAAACTCCACCCGTGTCGTACGCCAGGAGCCTGGAAACCAGCGCGCTCAGTAAACCGAGCTGCTGTAGTGACGCCTCCCTCCTTCAGCCCAAATATTCCTGATATCACATTCACATAACAACAATGACAGAATATCTGATCTCTGATTATGAGTTTATGTTTGTTTGTTTGTTTGTTTGCTTGTTTGTTTGTTTGTTTGTGCATCAGCAGGTAGCAGACTGAATCATTTCAAAACAAAAGCACATGTTCAGTTTGATGTTTTGTATGCACAAAATCAAAATATATTAACTTTATTTGATTTTCAGAGAGGGTCGTCTGACCCTAATCAATACCAGGCTTCCTGTTTGGACTTCTATCCTTCATAATAAAAGCACAAAGTGTACAACAGTAAGTATAGTAACAGCAAACAAACCTTTGCTTATGAATCTTTTTTTACTTAAATCGTATTACTGTTACCAGGCAGGGGTAAATGCCCTCCAGTTTGGTGCCAAATTTAACACACAACAACACACAGAAACATTTCTGTTTCCTCAATGACAAAAATAAACTCCAGTTTGTTTGTTTTTAATTTAATTGAGCAAAATCAATTTAAAATTTGCTTTTATTTTGAAGGTTATACCAAAACTCAACTTTTATTTCTCTGATCATTTTCAGCTTTAAAAATCAATAAATGTGAAAGTAATTTATCAGATGAGCTGAGAAGCAGATAAAGTTATATTTTGGTTTGTTGGCAACAGGAACTTTATCCTGAAGACACACTGAGCAGATTTTTCTTATAAACACTGAGTTTATCTTCATATTCAGGATCTTTGAATGTGACGTCCTCCTGTTTTTTATGAGTCAATATATGGAAAGAAATAAAGCATGTAACAGTTATTTTTTCAGATGTGATGAATCCGACAAAATCCAAACCTCAGTTTATTCCAGATGGAAGAGTTGTGTGGAACAGTGAATATTTTGGGATTTATTTGTACTGGTTCAGTGTGTTTCTGAGGTCTGTCTCACCCGATTCACCTCCTCCAACATTATTGTTATTATTTTTGTTTTTGAGCCCTGTTTTTGAATCAAACTATTTATGGCATCTTTTCTTTTATCACCACTTAAACTGTGAATTTTATATTTAAAAGAATTGAAAAAACAACAAAAATATGATGTTAAATATTCACTTGGTTCATTCTTTGATAGAAATAAAGTTGACTTTTTCAGACTTTGCTGTTTGTGCTGCTTTCAACTGTTATAAGTGTGACTATATGCAGATGACACCCTTTTCTTCTGTTAGTCATTCTTTCTTTAGAATGATGTATTCAATCCGTCACAACAAATGTAATATAATAAGAAACATCCACCATAAACACAGAGACAGATTTCCTGTTGGACTTCCAGGAGATCGCACCTGCAACCAACCATTATTTTCAGTATTGATTTATCATTTTGTAATTTTCTCTATTACCACCCTCAGGTTGCCAAACACACCAGCCCATTTTCACAATTTATTAATATCCCCATGATAATACAGCACAGAAATATGGTTCAAATACTGTCTGAATCTGTAGACTCTCAGCTTCCAAGTCTATATTCTCGTTAGAGCATAAATTATTCACACAGCGTGCCAGGAGGAAGGGAAGACAGCATCGTCTACCTTTCGGAGTAAGACTATTTGGTGCACTCGTGTGTGCGTCTACATTTTGTGTAAAACTTAACTAATTTCTTTTTTTCATTTGTATACTATTTTATTCACATATTCCACTATTTTGTGAACCTTATATTTTGATAAACCTATTTTTAAGCACAAACAGTGCCTCATTATACAGACAGCAGAGGTATTTCTACACATTCTGATATAAACCATTTTGTATATATTATACCCATGTATAAAATGTTGAAAAATTGTCAAAAGATATTCGGTTTACTGTCAAAGAGGACAAAAGAAACTATAAAATATAAACATTTGAGAAGCTGAAATCAGAAAATTTCAAGAACTCTGGCTAATTCCAGAAAAACAGACTCACAGAAAGTGTGAATAAAGGGCGAGTATGAAGACTGGAATTGGACCTGTGTCTGTGTGTGGGCATGGTCGAGGTCTGGTCTGGTTCTGCACACCTGCCCGCCATCAAGCAAATTAGCACTGCCTACAAGATCTCTGCTCACACCCAGTCTCTGCTGGACCTCGTGGAACTCAGGTTGTTCTTGTGCTTCCTGCTCACAGCCTGTTTTAGGTTATTTATATTATTAATACATGACCACAGCGGCAAAGACACAAGAACAACTGCAACCATTTTGGCAATTTTCATTTTCTCCCACAATGTCAACAAAAAAAAAGTCAAAAACATTATGAAAATTTTTTTGAAAAGCTGCTGTGAATTCAAGAATTTTAGGCCACAACAATCCCAAAAAAGAGCCAACGATCAGCCACTCCAGGAAGTTGTGATCACAAAAATCAACACAAATTCAATCCCTGTGAATTTGTCCAATCACCGTTCACAAATGTTAGCAATCATTGGTTTGATCCATCTGTCACGAAACTACTAGATTTTATTCTCACTGGAACAAGTTGTCTTCATGAATTATACAAAAAAATCACAAAAATGTTCACTTTCTCCAATTTCACTGTAGAAATACGACATTAACTGTCCACTGAAACAAGAGCATGTTTGTTCCTTTTTAATGTGAAATTAAAAAAAGAGACTCTGACTGCACAGCTGGAATTGATTTATTGATGGATGTGATCAGATCACTTCATCTTGTTTTTATGAACTCCAGCCTGCATTTATTTCCTGAAAAACAGAAAAGCCAGAGGGCTCATCATCATCATCATCATCATCATCATCATCATCATCATCATCATCATCATCATCATCATCATCATCATCATCATCATCACAGAAGAAGACATGTGGGAGACAGACAGATTCCACTAAATGATTGATCACATAATGGTGACCTTTGACCCATTAAATCCTCATCAGCAGTCCTCCTGACATCTCCCAGAGAACAAACTGTTTCTTCATATCCACATACTGAAAGAAAATCCCACTGCCAGAACTTTATGAATGTATAAAGTATATTTATACATCATCTGTATTACTGGTTCTCATACAGGGGTATTTTGGAGCACTGTAGGGGTACTTTTGAGCACTGTAGGGGTACTTGAGAGCACTGTAGGGGTATTTTGAAGCACTGTAGGGGTGTTCTTGAGCACTGTAGGGGTACTTTGGAGCACTGTAGGGGTACTTCAGATTGTTTTTTAAATGTTAATTTAAAAATAGAAGTTAATACAAGTCCTATTTTTAACACAGCTTTGTGGTTGGAAGCACTAAAACGATCTGGAAGCATATAAAATTATAAATTAAATATATGTGGATACTCCAATGTATGAAAATCCTTCCTTTGTACCTGATGGATGTATTTTTTTTGTAATATAGGTGACCTACACTGCCCTCCAAAGGCAATCCACAGTAACTACAATTTTGGTCAAAATTGAGTTCTGACTGAAATTTAACTTTTAACTTGTTTTATACAGTCGCTGCGCTCTCCCTCGCCATCTCTGAGCTCCGGCTGCAGTCGCTGCGCTCTCCCTCGCCGTCTCTGAGCTCCGGCTGCAGTCATTGCGGCTTCAGTGTTTTCAGGACAATGTAGGAATTAAAACAAAGGGCATCTTCATGTTCTCCACTGGGAACTCTGACTGACTCCATCTGTGGATTATTAGCTGAGCTCATTAGAGCAGATAGTGATAATAGGTCACATATTACTGGGCTACTGCTACCTAGCTCGGACAAGGTATTGGTGTGCAAATTAAACCTTGTTTAGACTCGTCTGTTTCAACCTTTTACTCAGTAAACAATCAGAAATCCAGATTGAATGTAGTAAATGAGTTGTAGTCAGGAAGAAGACACTCAGACTGCAGTTACTGCACTCTGTCTGTGCACTACCAATATATCTGTTTATGTTACAATTTTTTTCTCGGTTGTTTACACACATTTTCTGAAAGCATGCCTCATACTCTCAGAACTCTACACACAAATCAAACAACACACACACAATGGGTAAAACCCCTCAATTCTCCTGCAAAATGAAACTTTACGTTCAAAACAATGTTATTTCTTCTCAAAATGGTATTTTGTTTTCAAATGACACACACAAACCATCATATGAATAGACATTTATAAGAACCAGTTGAACACTGATGTGCTCAATGTAAAACACTATGATGAATGGAAAACACTTCTTCTCCATTCATCATAATGACTCAGGCCTTTTTTTTGTTCAATTCAATTCAGTTTTATTTGTATAGCGCCAATTCATAACGGAAGTTATCTCAGGACACTTTTCAAATAGAGCAGGTCTAGACCAAACTCTTTATAACATTATTTACAGAGACCCAACAGTACCACCATGAGCAAGACCTTGGAGACAAGGGCAAGGAAAAACTGCCTGTTAAAAGGCAGAAACCTAGGACAGATCCTTCGGCTCTAGGTGGGTGGTCGACTGTCTCGACCAGTTGGGGTGAGAGAGAGAGAGAGCGAGAGCGAGAGACAGACAGACAGACAGACAGACAGACAGGTGCACAGCAACAACAGTATTGGCAATGGCAATCTAGCAGGACTATGGCAGGAGGCTCCACCAGGATCCATGAGAACCTGCAAGACGAGAAAGCACAAGAACTCCGGGGAAGAAGTGAAGTTAGTAACATGCATTAATGGGACATGAATGAGTGCAGAAAGAGAGAGGAAGGGAGGAGCTCAGTGCACCATGGGAAATCCCCCGATAGTCTAGGCCTATAGCAGCATAACTAAGGGATGGTTCAGGACTCACCTGATCCAGCCCTAACTATAAGCTTTATCAAAGAGGAATGTCTTAAGCCTACTCTTGAATGTGGTGAGGGTGTCTGCCTCCAGAACCACAACTGGAAGCTGGTTCCACAAGAGAGGAGCTTGGTAACTGAAGGCTCTGGCTCCTGTTCTACTTTTAGAGACTATAGGAACCACAAGTAGCCCAGCATTCAGAGAACGTAGTGTTCTAGAGGGGTAATAGGGTACTATGAGCTCTTTAAGATATGAAGGGGCCTGACCATGAAGAGCTTTATAGGTGAGGAGGAGGATTTTAAATTCTATTCTACATTTTACAGGGAGCCAATGCAGAGAAGCTAGTACAGGAGAGATGTGATCTCTTTTTCTAGTTCCTGTCAGTACTCGTGCTGCAGCGTTCTGAATTAATTGGAGCGTTTTAATGGACTTATTGGGGCAGTCTGATAATAAAGAGTTGTTCAGTGTTACACTTACTACAGACAGTACATACTTAAGTGTGTTGTAAAATATTTGAGAATATTGTTTTTATACACACAAATACACGGTAACAAATATATTTTATTTTTCCCACAAAAACAATGTATACAGTGTACATCCCAACCAACACAAAGTTGCACATACAGTGGTCTACATACAAAACAACAGAAGAATTTACTGTATACAGTTACAGTAAAAAAAAAATAAACTATGCTGCATCCTCTCTTCTGTTTCGGTCTGGCCACAGCACCTCATCCACATCACAAGCAATGTTTTCCCTGGCCAAGCAGCAGGGGAAATATCGCCTAGCATGGCGAATCCAGCCATGAAAAGCATCAACTGCTATATTTAACCCTAACCTGCCCTTTTATGCTAAAGCTCTGATATTTAATTGTAAAACTGTGTGATAAGTGTTTGCCCATGTGATGAGTCAGTGTGCATAGTAGGGCAGTTAACTTTAGAATTTTGAATGACAGTGTGTTCCTTGTGAAAACAAGATATTTTCTTCATGAAAATTGTGTCAAATGCAGAGAATTGTGTGTAGTGTTTTGTGTTTTGGTTTACAATAACCCTGCATCCAGTTCTTCTCTGATATCTACAGATTGGAGACTGTGCCTAATTTTGAAAATTGTAGTCGATCGTGAGACTCTGGAGGAGAAAAACAAACGGGGCAATTTGCTTTTTTGATCAGATCCTACAGAGTCCAGCTGAGGTGGACGATCTGAATGAGAAACTAAAAATGTGGGTGAATGTCTGAAGAATATACGATGGCTCGATCAGTGTTAATCACTCCAGAGATAGAGTTCGGTCTAGACCTGCTCTATTTGAAAAGTGTCCTGAGATAACTTCTGTTATGAATTGGCGCTATACAAATAAAATTGAATTGAATTGAAATTGAATTAGAATGTTTCACCTGCTTATAATCGTTGTAAGTTTATGATCAATGATCTGACTCATTTCTAACTTCACAGATATTGGAGACATATTTTTTAGCTGTTGTTTGAGCAACTGGCTCGTTATCTTCTGCCAGTAAGTATGAAAAAAAGGCTGTGGACTCATTCATTTGATTTGTGGTTGAAAGAACTGAACACATTACATCTGGAGAGGTTTTATAAGGAAGATAGACGAGGTGTGTTTGATAAGATCTGGCATCCTGTGTTAAAATGTCTTCAGAGTGAGAACTTTGCTGTCCTTTCATTTTACAGTGTATGTGCACATAAAATAATGTGCTGTCTGTTTGTATTCTCTGAAAAACATCTATCCAATTAATTCCTAAAATTATAATACTATAAGTTCAATAAAACCTTTTAAGTCTGAAAAAACATCTTTTATATTTAACTACTAACTATTCTCAAACTGCTGTTAACGTCTGTAAAAGCTCTGGTAAAGAGAAGAACAAACATCCTGTAAGTATAACTTATCAATGATCAATGTGACTTCAATGCCGTCTCAGTGTTACTAATTGATGACCAGCGCTGGTCAGGGGGAGAAGCATTGATCTGTATTAATGAGTAATCACAGGAGGCGTACAGGGAGTCCATGAGTTCGTTCACTGTTGGTTTGAGTCTGAACATGAAGAGGAAATATCAGAGTTTTCCTTGAATGTGACTTTATACAGCGCGACCTTAAAGACGTAATCGTGTCTGTCTTTTGGTTTCTAGGAAATACTGGTCCTGATGAAACCAGGTGTGTGTCCTCAGATGGTCTGTGGTGCATGTGGTCCAGCAGCAGTTTCAGCACTTTACTGGCACCCACAGGACGAACCCGGTGCGTACTGGGAGCCGGCAGCATGTGACTGTTTACTCTGGCAGACCGGCAGCTGAGGAAATCCGGCTCGGTTCCATCGGGAGCGAGGTGAGACCAAAATGTTCCCCTTGATTAAAATATGTGGTCTGTGTAGGAGCCCGGACCCCCCCCCCCCAGCAGCAGCTCAGAGCCAGTCGATGGAAATAACTCACATTGTTTAAAGCTCTGTGGGAAACCAGCTGGCTGCATCTCAACGCTCACTCACAGTCAGCAGAGCAATCCACACACAGCACTGTGATTTATTATCACCCCCCCCCCCCCACCCCGACACACACTTTACTCTGCTCTCACCTCAGCTGACCTGTTTCTGCTCAACTCTGCGTTTTTGGACAGAAACACACTGATATTCAATCAATCAATAATCAGAAGCTGTCCTCCATTGACTGTTTACCATCCACTGTTTAGATCTTGGTGCTTTTTAACTCTAGATTTGAACCGGATGAAGGATTTTAGTCATCGGACGTCTGGATCTTAAGTTATCAGAGAAACAAGCTGAGCTAACATTAGCAGCAGCTCGGCTCGCAGCCCCTCCGGGACGTCCTTTGTCTGTCCAACAGTGTGGGAGAAGCAGTGATTGTTAAGGTGGAACTGCTTTATTCAGTGTGTTTAAGGTGGAACTGTTTTATTCAGTGTGTTTAAGGTGGAACTGCTTTATTCAGTGTGTTTAAGGTGCAACTGCTTTATTCAGTGTGTTTAGTGGTTTTAATCAGCGGGTCTGTTTGTGTTGGAGAGGAGGAGACCTCTGTGGATCATTGGGCTCCCGGTAGAAACCTCCTGAACCATGAACACTGAAGGAATCCTAACCGGGAGAAGCTGACTGCAATGACGCCAATGGTGGTGAAGACAACAACTCCCATGATCCCACACTGCAGTGTCAGTGACTCTGAGGATCAGTTCTGTTCTGGCAGAGAAAGTTTGGCTGCAGTTGATTTGTTCATTTAGATCAGTGTGAATGTTGGACGGTTCACTGAGGATCAGTGTGAAGGATTCAGGGCCATCTAGTGGTGAACAAACTCAATGTATTTATTATCATTTATTATCATTTAAAGCTCTCTCTGTCACAGGTTTCTGCTAAACAAGAGTCTTATAATCAAATGAAGAGTAAAAGATTCTGTATGAGTGCAGCTGTGGTCTGTCAACATAACAGATCATTACACAATACAGTTATTTAACACAGTAATATTAATATTTTTTGCCTATTGCATTAAAAGGCAATAAAAGCAAAAGTAAAAACAATAACTATTAAATATAATATGAAGTACTATTAGAATTCCAGTAACAAGGTGGTTTCCTGTCACTAAAAGGCAATAAAAGACTAAACTAATCAATATATATATATATATATATATATATATATATATATATATAACAATATAATAGGAAGGAAAAACAAGTTAATAAAAGCAAATATTTATAAATAATTATACATTAATGTATGTAAATACAGCGTATATGAACACACACAAACATACAGTATGTGCACATACAGACAATCAGAATCAGAAACTTTATTGATCCCAGGGGACTAAGAGATATAATAAAATAATGGGAGCCTATCTAAACATATTCCACAGTTTTAAGATTGTGGTGTTGTTACAAACAATGAATCAGGTGGATTTTATTGCACTTAATAACAACTGAGGGATCAATAATAAAGTTTTTACCATACTGAATGTACCATTTTTAAATATTTACTATTTCTTACGCTGTTTTTTTAATTTCGTCTTTAAGCAGTTTAACTTTATGTTTCCTTCAGATCAGCTGGGAAGAGAATAAACTTCAGGTTCCACCAAGATTTGAACTCAGAACACTGTATTCAGAGTCCAGAGTGCTAACCATTACACCATGGAACCACATGATTGTGGGAAGTCACAAGCTCAGTTTATATTGGTTGGGGTTATCTGACGTCACGTCCTCCATCAAACAGGAAGTGAAGAGGGCAGTAACCAAGCTTTAATTAAAGACACAAACAACTCAGCCATTTTTATTAACCTACCTGTGTGGGTAATAATGTATTATTAATATATTATAATTATTATTATTATCCTTATTAATAATAATTTCAGTGAGTGCGGCTGAGAGTCCCGCCTCCCGCCACCAGGTGTCAGTGTGACACAACAGATCACCTGTTTCATTTATAACTTTATAATAAGTTTTGATCCTGTATATGAATATTCAATTCAATTCAATTCAATTTTATTTGTATAGCGCCAATTCATAACAGAAGTTATCTCAGGACACCATTCAAATAGAGCAGGTCTAGACCGAACTCTTTAACATTAATTACAGAGACCCAACAGTACCACCATGAGCAAGACCTTGGAGACAAGGGCAAGGAAAAACTGCCTGTTAAAAGGCAGAAACCTAGGACAGATCCTCCGGCTCTAGGTGGGTGGTCGTCTGTCTCGACCAGTTGGGGTGAGAGAGAGAGAGAGACAGAGAGAGAGAGAGAGAGAGAGAGAGACAGAGAGAGAGAGAGAGAGAGAGAGAGAGAGAGAGAGAGAGAGAGAGACAGAGAGAGAGAGAGAGAGAGAGAGACAGAGAGAGAGAGAGAGGGAGAGAGAGAGAGAGAGAGAGCGAGAGACAAACAGACAGGTGCACAGCAACAACAGTATTGGCAATGGCAATCTAGCAGGACCATGGCAGGAGGCTCCACCAGGATCGATAAGAACCTGCGAGACGAGAAAGCACAAGAACTCCGGGGAAGAAGTGAAGTTAGTAACATGCATTAATGGGACATGAATGAGTGCAGAAAGAGAGAGGAAGAGAGGAGCTCAGTGCATCATGGGAAATCCCCCGATAGTCTAGGCCTATAGCAGCATAACTAAGGGATGGTTCAGGACTCACCTGATCCAGCCCTAACTATAAGCTTTATCAAAGAGGAATGTCTTAAGCCTACTCTTGAATGTGGTGAGGGTGTCTGCCTCCCGAACCACAACTGGAAGCTGGTTCCACAGGAGAGGAGCTTGGTAACTGAAGGCTCTGGCTCCTGTTCTACTTTTAGAGACTATAGGAACCACAAGTAGCCCAGCATTCAGAGAACGTAGTGTTCTAGAGGGGTAATAGGGTACTATGAGCTCTTTAAGATATGAAGGGGCCTGACCATGAAGAGCTTTTTAGGTGAGGAGGAGGATTTTAAATTCTATTCTACATTTTACAGGGAGCCAATGCAGAGAAGCTAGTACAGGAGAGATGTGATCTCTTTTTCTAGTTCCTGTCAGTACTCGAGCGATCTGATAAATATGACTTAAACCAGCTTAGTGGTTCCTTTAATGCCAATTTGATGCTCAAGTCTCTGTAAAAGAATATTATGGTCAATGGTGTCAAATGCAGCACTAAGATCTAATAATACAAGTACAGAGACAAGTCCATTGTCAGAACCAATCAGAAGGTCATTATTAACTTTAACCAGAGCTGTCTCTGTGCTGTGATGAACTCTAAATCCTGACTGAAAAATCCTCAAATAAACTATTGTTATGTAGAAAGTCACACATATCTTTGGCGACTACTTTCTCCAGAATCTTAGAGAGGAAGGGGAGGTTAGAAATCGGTCTATAGTTGGCTAAAACCCCTGGGTCAAGAGTGGACTTTTTAAGAAGGGGTTTAATTACAGCTACTTTAAATGACTGTGGTACATATCCTGATAATAAAGAAAGATTAATCATATCCAGTAAAGAAGTGCCAATTAAGGGTACGACTTCTTTAAGCAGCCTAGTTGGGATCGGGTCTAACAGACAGGTTGATGGCTTCGATGAAGAAATGATTGAAGTTAACTGATGAAGATCGATAGCAGAAAATTCTTATTTTCTTCTATTAGTGCTGAGTAATAGGCTCCTCTGGCCAATTTGAGCGATATTCTGATAATTTGGAAGAGCGCCATTTCCTTTCAGATTTCCTAGCTATTTGTTTTAACTGGCGGGTTTGGTGGTTATACCAAGGTGCTAGTCTCCTATGTTTTAATAATTTCCTTTTTATAGGAGCGATAGAGTCTAATGTTGATCGTAGTGAGCCTGTAGCACTATCGACAAGATTATCAATTTCAGAGGGACTAAAGTCGTTATAGGACTCTGTTAAATTCAGACATGGCATTGAATTAAACACTGAAGGAATCTCCTCCTTAAATTTAGCTACAGCACTGTCAGATAGACATCTGCTGTAGGAAGTTTTGCCTAATGGCTTATAATCTAATAGTATGAATTCAAAAGTTATTAAATAATGGTCAGACAGGAAAGGATTATGTGGGAAGACTATTAAATGTTCAATATCAATGCCATATGATAAAACAAGGTCAAGAGTGTGATTAAAACAATGAGTTGGTTTATTTACACTCTGACAGAAGCCAATTGAGTCTATTAATGATATAAATGCATTACTAAGGCTGTCATTGTCAACATCCACATGAATATTAAAATCACCTACAATAATTACTTTATCTGATTTAAGGACTAAGCTTGATAGAAACTCTGAGAATTCAGATATAAAATCAGAGTACGGTCCAGGAGCGCGGTACACTATAACAAATAGAACTGGCTGCAGTGTTTTCCAGTTTGGGTGAGAAAGACTAAGAACAAGGCTTTCAAATGAATTATAATTTAGTTTAGGTTTAGGGTCCATTAAAACGCTCGAATCATATATGGCTGCTACTCCACCTCCTCGGCCTGTGCCTCGAGGAATGTGAGTATTAATATGACTGGGGGGGTGGATTCATTTAGGCTAACATACTCCTCGTGGGACAACCAGGTCTCAGTAAGACAAAGTAAATCAATATCATAATCTGATATTAATTCATTCACTAAAACAGCTTTAGAGGACAGTGACCTGATATTTAACAGCCCACATTTCATTCTCTTATTTTGTGCTACTGAGGAGTTGGTTTTAATTTTTATTAGATTTTTATGTTGAACTCCTCTTGTTTTTATTTCTTTAAATAATTTAGGTGGTCGGGGGACAGACACAGTCTCTATGGGGTTTTGGGTGGGTGACTGTTCTAAAGAAAGCGCAGAGAAGTGTGTAAGACAGCAGCTCTGCTTCCTGGTCCCAACTCTGGACTGTCAGGTTTTAGAAATAAACTTTGCCATATTTCTAGATAAGAGAGCCGCTCCATCCAAAGTGGGATGGATGCCGTCTCTCCTAATCAGACCAGGTTTTCCCCAAAAAGGCTTCCAGTTATCAATGAAGCCCACATCGTTTTCTGGACACCACCTCGACAGCCAGCGGTGGAATGACGACATGCGGCTATACATGTCATCACTGGTCACATTGGGCAGGGGTCCAGAGAAAACTACGGAGTCCGACATTGTTTTAGCATAATTACACACCGACTCCACATTAATCTTAGTGACCTCCGATTGGCGTAAACGGGTGTCATTACCGCCGACGTGGATAACAATCTTACTGTATTTACGTTTACCTTTAGCCAGCAGTTTTAAATTTGATTCAATGTCGCCCGCTCTGGCCCCAGGGATACATTTAACTATGGCCGCTGGCTTCACTAACTTCACGTTTCTGACTATGGAGCTGCCAATAACCAGAGTTGGTTCCTCAGCGGGTGTATCGCTGAGAGGGGAAAATGTATTGGAAACGTGAAGCGGTTGGTGGTGACCTGTGGGCTTCGCCGTTCTAGTCTTCCTTCGCTCAGTCACCCAGCCTCCCTGTCTTCCCGGCTGCTCGGGAACTACCGGGGGAACTACAGAGCTAACAGAAGCTACCTTCGGTCGGACCGGACCGGCTACTGGGGGCTGGCTAACTATAGCGGCTAAAGATATCTCAGTGGTGCGGTGCCGTTCCTCTAACTCACTAAGCCTCGCCTCCAGCGCAGTAAATAAACTACACTTAATACAAGAACCATTATCATTAAAGGAGGCAGAGGAATAACTGAACATCTGACACACTGAGCAGGACAGAGGAGAGGGAGAGGGAGAAGCCATAGCTAACTGCTAATGCTAATGAAACTAGTGTGTATGAAAAACTTTGAAAATAGCGAAAAGTCGCTAAAAGAAGGAGTAACTCCGAGTGTTTAAGTAGAACTAGTCTACGTTTAAATATTAAGCGGGAAAATAACCGCTGTAACGAGTAAAACTAATGTATATTTAGCGTTCACTGACAGAGCTACAGCACCAAACAGTGTACACAGAGCAGGAAGTGAACCGGAAATGAGTCAGTACGCTTACCGTAGCACGTCACCTTCCACCTCCTTTTAATTGTCATATATGTCATATATGTAGTTATAGATAATCTTACAGTTAATGTTTCATATTAGAATATTGTTTGTGTTCTTGTTTATTTCCAGTGAATAACTAGCTAACAGAGCTAATGAGCTAACGGAGCTAATGAGCTAACGGAGCTCACGAGCTAACAGAGCTAACAGAGCTAACGAGACTGTTACACCTTTCAAAGCACAACACGATGGACAATAACAATAATAACAATAATAACAATAATAATAACAATAATAATAATAATAATAATAATATCAGTAATATTGAGGCTCCACCAGGATCGATAAGAACCTGCGAGACGAGAAAGCACAAGAACTCCGGGGAAGAAGTGAAGTTAGTAACATGCATTAATGGAACATGAATGAGTGCAGAAAGAGAGAGGAAGAGAGGAGCTCAGTGCACCATGGGAAATCCCCCGATAGTCTAGGCCTATAGCAGCATAACTAAGGGATGGTTCAGGACTCACCTGATCCAGCCCTAACTATAAGCTTTATCAAAGAGGAATGTCTTAAGCCTACTCTTGAATGTGGAGAGGGTGAACCTCCTCCTCCAAAACCAAAACTGAAAACAGGCAGCAGGTCCAGCAGGCTGTGTGATCCAATAGATGAAGGCAGATGTGCTGCTGCAGCAGGAACTCCGTTTCGTCTCCACAGTTGGCTGCTCGCAGTAATCATGATGGATGATGGGAGGGTGTCTCACTGCTGCAGCGACGAGTCTCCACCTGAACTGAGCAGTAGCCTGAAACCTGAAACTCTGTACTCATCACTGAGAGCTCTACCCGAGAAGGTTAGTATGTACTGACAGTGTTATATTTATCATATAAAACATAACTCTGCATTAATGTTTCATATCAATATTGTGTCTTAGGTTCCTAGAGAGGCTGTTTACATCTTTTCAATTAAAAAAAACAAATATGTTATTTATCACCGGAACCTGAACATGAACAGATCTACCCTTATTTGAAATTATGACCAGTTCATTGTTCAGTTCTCTCTCAGAAAAATGTAAAAAACGAGAGAGAAGCTAATGTCAGCAATGTAACAGAGCTAACAGAGCTAACGGAGCTAAAAAGCTAACACTGTTATCATTCAGTAATGATAATAAGTTACACTTATACTTCAGCTTGTGTTTCACTGAGGATGTTTGTTCTTCTCTTTATCAGAGCTTTTACAGCTGGTAAACACTGTAAACAGCTGCACTGTAAACACTGTAAACACAGTAAACACTGTAAACAGCTGCATTGTAAACACTGTAAACACTGTAAACAGCTGCATTGTAAACACTGTAAACACTGTAAACAGCTGTACTGTAAACACTGTAAACAGCTGCATTGTAAACACTGTAAACACTGTAAACAGCTGCACTGTAAACACTGTAAACAGCTGCATTGTAAACACTGTAAACACTGTAAACAGCTGCACTGTAAACACTGTAAACACAGTAAACACTGTAAACAGCTGCACTGTAAACACTGTAAACACAGTAAACACTGTAAACACTGTAAACACAGTAAACACTGTAAACAGCTGCACTGTAAACACTGTAAACAGCTGCACTGTAAACACTGTAAACAGCTGCACTGTAAACACTGTAAACACAGTAAACACTGTAAACAGCTGCACTGTAAACACTGTAAACAGCTGCACTGTAAACACTGTAAACACAGTAAACACTGTAAACAGCTGCACTGTAAACACTGTAAACAGCTGCACTGTAAACACTGTAAACAGCTGCACTGTAAACACTGTAAACACAGTAAACACTGTAAACAGCTGCACTGTAAACACAGTAAACACTGTAAACACTGTAAACAGCTGCATTGTAAACACTGTAAACAGCTGCACTGTAAACACTGTAAACACTGTAAACAGCTGCATTGTAAACACTGTAAACACAGTAAACAGCTGCACTGTAAACACTGTAAACAGCTGCACTGTAAACACTGTAAACACAGTAAACAGCTGCACTGTAAACACTGTAAACACAGTAAGCACTGTAAACACAGTAAACAGCTGCACTGTAAACAGCTGCATTGTAGACACTGTAAACAGCTGCACTGTAAACACTGTAAACACAGTAAACACTGTAAACACAGTAAACACTGTAAACACAGTAAACAGCTGCACTGTAAACAGCTGCATTGTAGACACTGTAAACAGCTGCACTGTAAACACTGTAAACAGCTGCACGGAAAAATAGAATATAAAATTTGGTTTATTGAACCTACATTTACATTTTTTTATTGAATTATTTTGCTGATATAACGGTAAGAGTAGCCTAACGCTCCACTGTCAGGCTAACGGCTACGTAGCAGGCTAACAGAGTGTCACCAAACTCAACTGTAACAGCCGGTTTCAACCAGCAGAGGGCGCTGTGTTGTTCTACAGCAAAATATGTAGAATTTAGTTTAATAGTTTGTTCAAAGTGTTCAGATTTGGACCGGAATCCATCAAAATTCCTAATATTCAGATACAGAGGTTCTACAGGGGTCCTACAGAGGTTCTACAGAGGTTCTACAGGGGTTCTACAGAGTTTCTACAGGGGTTCTACAGAGGTTCTACAGAGTTTATACAGGGGTTCTACAGAAGTCCTACAGAGGTTCTACAGAAGTTCTACAGGGGTTATACAGGGGTTCTACAGACATTCTACAGAAGTCCTACAGAGGTTCTACAGAAGTTCAACAGGGGTCATACAGGGGTTCTACAGAGGTTCTACAGGGGTTATACAAAGGTTCTACAGGGGTTATATAGGGGTTCTACTGAGGTTCTACAGAAGTTCTACAGAGGTTCCACAGAGGTCCTACAGGGGTTCTACAGAGGTCCTACAGAGGTCCTACAGAGTTTCTACAGGGGTTCTACAGAGGTTCTACAGGGTTTATACCGGGGTTCTACAGACGTTCTACAGAAGTCCTACAGAGGTTCTACAGAAGTTCTACAGGGGTTATACAGACATTCTACAGAGGTTCTACAGAGGTTCTATAGAAGTTCAACAGGGGTTATACAGAGGTTCTACAGAGGTTCTACAGGGGTTCTACAGAGTTTCTACAGGGGTTCTACAGAGGTTCTACAGGGGTTATACAGGGTTTCTACAGACATTCTACAGAAGTCCTACAGAGGTTCTACAGAAGTTCAACAGGGGTCATACAGGGGTTCTACAGAGGTTCTACAGGGGTTATACAAAGGTTCTACAGGGATTTTACAGGGGTTCTACAGAGCTTCTACAGAAGTTCTACAGAGGTTCCACAGAGTTCCTACAGGGGTTCTACAGAGGTCCTACAGAGGTTCTACAGGGGTTCTACAGAGTTTATACAGGGGTTCTACAGGGTTTATACAGGGGTTCTACAGACATTCTACAGAGGTTCCACAGGGGTTCTACAGATTTTCTACAGGGGTTCCACAGAGGTTCTACAGGGGTCCTACAGGGGTTCTACAGAGGTTCTACAGAGGTTCCACAGAGGTCCTACAGAGGTTCCACAGGGGTTCTACAGATTTTCTACAGGGGTTATACAAAGGTTCTACAGGGGTCCTACAGGGGTTCTACAGAGGTTCTACAGAGGTTCTACAGGGGTTCTATAGAGGTTCTACAGAGGTTCTACAGAAGTTCTACGGAGGTTTTAGAGGGGTTCTACAGGGGTTCTATGAGGGTTCTACAGGGGTCCTATGAGGGTTATACAGAGGTTCTACGAGGGCAGGAAACACGGTCATTGTTACTCATATTGTTACGTATTAAGGAAACAGATAATCTGTGAAAGAATCTGGTTCCTCTGGTTCTGAATGAGCGAGAATCCACCAGAAAACAACCAATCAGAGCCGAGGAGGCTTTGGGTTAGGAGCCAGAAGGTAGAAGGTCAACGACCTTTCTCATCTCTGATTGGTTGTTTGCAGTCGCCGCCGGCGGAGGTCAGTTCTTTAATAAGCTTCATGAAGCATCGAGCAACAGAAAAATCTTTTATTGGATTTTCTCCACAGAAGGTTTCTGTCCAGTGAGAGTTTACAGACAGAGAGCCCTTCCAGCAACTGAACTACAGTTTACTATGATTGTCGTTATGCACCAGGACGTCTCACTACAGCACGCATAAAAATAGAAGAACACGACTAGAAGCATTTACAACATGCACTGTATGAAGAAAGATTGCATAGCTCTTCACTGTGTGGCCCTTTAAAACTGTGCTTTTTAAGAGTCTGATCGGCCTTTCTGCAAAGCACTGAAGTCAGAAAAGCCCTGTACGGTTTCTCCTGCAGCGTCTCCGCACGAGTCCAGAAGAGCCACCGAGTCCAGAGGAGACATCAGAGCTCTCGTGTATAAAATCAGCCCCAAACTGTTTATAATTAATTAAAGTTTCATGCACTAACAGCTTTCTCTCTGAGCGTCCTCGCCAACTGCAAGAGGCTGAATTGGCAAGAAAAAGCCTGTGCTTCTGTGGATCCAGACCAGCCTCTGTGTCAGGTCTCCAACGGTGATAGAAAGGACAGGCACTGAGTCGAGGTGGGTCTGAGGTTCAGGTGGAGTCTGGAAGGTGAAGACCGGTCGGATCAGGAAACAGGGTCAAAGTGAGACATCTGTCGTCTTTCAGGATCTCAGCAGAGTCTCATATTCGTATGTGGAAGTTACTGCAGGAAAAACGAGATCACAGTCATCAAACTGTAGCTAACAGCGCCACCGGTGGCCGCTCGGTGAACTGTAGCTAACTATATTTTATTTGGACCGTTAGCTCCATGCTATTAACTAGCTTGCTGTTTACAAATCAGCCATCAGCCAACACCATGAAGCAACCGACGCCAGACACACACCGCCAAGACACAGCCAGCCGGACAACCCTAGTTAGCTTAGCTACAGTTAGCTAGCTGGATGCCCCTCCCTCGCATCGCTCTTGGCTAGTAGAAAGCTATCGTTAGCTTTGTACCGCTACATCATTTATTGTTGGCTAAAATCAACACTGTTTGTCAGAATACATAAGTTAGCATCATGGATCATGTGAGCTGGGGAAGCTAACAATAGCCAGCTAACATATCCACTCAGATAGCACTTTGCTAGCGATAATGTTAGCTAGCTGCAACCCAGTGATTCACAGAATCTGATTCTTCTGAAACTGAAATAATGAAAAGTTGACAAACAAAATTCACTTTGAACATTTCAAATTAAAACCTATTATGTTCAGGTTCAGTTTGTATTGGCACTAAAATGACTCCGTACATAATAACACTCCTGTCCTCTGCCACCTGCAGTTACCCACAATCCTCTGCTCTGACTGTGGAGGACTATAACCTCCTCCCCTCCACCGGCGGCGCTCCCCTGTGACAGCTGGTTGTATGATGGGTGCAGTCAGGATGTGAGTTTGGTGTTTTAGTCACTTTAAACAAACAGTGTCACATATTTCTGTCGACTATAATCTGGCGACCCCTGTGGTTACAGATGGTACTGCAGGTGTCTTTTATGGGAAACTAAACCAATCAGCAACCTCTGTGGCTGCAGTTCCTGTAGCGGCCACCAGAGGCTCCAACACTCTCCACATTACCTGCAGAATAAAGACGTTTACAGCCAGTTGTTCTCTGGAGATACACACTGTACCTTTATACAACTCTCACTTTAAATTATATCCAGTCAGCATAATTCAGGGCGTGGCCACTGTGAGTGACAGTCAGTGGTTTCAGTTACCCTAATTTAGCTCTGCCTCTTTGACCATTCAGGAACCTGTGGGGGACGGTTTGATTGCCGTACCTCAGGAAGTCCGGAGCCTTTGAGATCATGTTCTCGAAGTCGCTGAATGAGAGCTTGCTGTCTCCGTCGAGGTCGGCCTCCTCGACGGCTTTATCACACACCAGAGTGACCTCCTCCGGTGTGAGCTCTCCTTTGGTCAGCTTGTTCAGAGTCTTCCTCAGGTCCTCCTTACAGATGAAGTTGTCCCTGTTAAAGTCTGGACCAGAACCAGGAGATTAACATTGTGTTTTCATTGATGTACCCTGGGAATGATTGAACTGACCAGCTGTAAAGAGTCTCATTAGCACATGCACTGAAGGGTGTGTGGAGGCAGTTGTACTCGCCGTAGATCTTGAAGGCGTATATGGTCTTGAGCTCTCTGGGTGACGTCTCACAGAGAGCAGAAAACATGTCCACGAAGTCGTTGAAGCTGAGGTTCCCGTGTCCGTCCTCGGAGAACGTCTCCACGATCCTGTCCCTGAACGGGTTCTCCTGTCAGCACAAACCAGATTCATGATTTATTTTATGATTTATGTCCATTTGGTGACGACTCACAGGGAACTGCTGTGGGCAACTGCTAACAAACTAGCCATCTGCCTACATGCTTACAGAGTTCAATAACGATGATACACCATTGTTATATAGAATTTTTCTCAGTTTTGTTGTCCAACATAAAACCTCTCTGTTAATACCCCGACTGCGAATGTGACGGTTGCTAATGTTAGCTTATAAATGGAGTCAGTTCATTATCTCATATATATATATATATATCATTATATAGTCATGGAGTTCCACAAGGTTCTGTACTTGGACCAATACTATTTACTTTATATATGCTCCCTTTAGGCAACATTATTAGGAATCACTCCATTAACTTTCACTGCTATGCAGATGATACGCAGTTATATCTATAGCTCAAGCCCGATGAAATTAATCAATTATCTAAATTACAAACATGTCTTAAGGACATAAAATCCTGGATGACCTGCAATTTTCTGATGTTAAACTCAGAAAAAAACGAAATTCTTGTTCTTGGCCCCAAAAACCTTAGAGACTCACTGTCTAAAGATATAGTCACTCTAGATGGCATTAACTTGGCCTCTAGCACCACTGTCAGGAATCTTGGAGTTATCTTTGATCAGGATTTGTCATTTAACTCCCACATAAAGCAGACCTCTAGGACTGCCTTCTTTCATTTACGTAATATTAGAAAAATTAGACACATACTATCACAGACAGATGCAGAAAAACTAATCCATGCATTTGTTAATTCAAGGCTGGATTACTGCAACTCTTTATTATCAGGTTGCCCCAATAAGTCCATTAAAACGCTCCAATTAATTCAGAACGCTGCAGCACGAGTACTGACAGGAACTAGAAAAAGAGATCACATCTCTCCTGTACTAGCTTCTCTGCATTGGCTCCCTGTAAAATGTAGAATTGAATTTAAAACCCTCCTCCTCACCTATAAAGCTCTTCATGGTCAGGCCCCTTCATATCTTAAAGAGCTCATAGTACCCTATTACCCCTCTAGAACACTACGTTCTCTGAATGCTGGGCTACTTGTGGTTCCTATAGTCTCTAAAAGTAGAACAGGAGCCAGAGCCTTCAGTTACCAAGCTCCTCTCCTGTGGAACCAGCTTCCAGTTGTGGTTCGGGAGGCAGACACCCTCACCACATTCAAGAGTAGGCTTAAGACATTCCTCTTTGATAAAGCTTATAGTTAGGGCTGGATCAGGTGAGTCCTGAACCATCCCTTAGTTATGCTGCTATAGGCCTAGACTATCGGGGGATTTCCCATGGTGCACTGAGCTCCTCCCTTCCTCTCTCTTTCTGCACTCATTCATGTCCCATTAATGCATGTTACTAACTTCACTTCTTCCCCGGAGTTCTTGTGCTTTCTCGTCTCGCAGGTTCTTATCGATCCTGGTGGAGCCTCCTGCCATGGTCCTGCTAGATTGCCATTGCTAATATCACTGATATTATTATTATTATTATTATTATTATTAATAATATTATTATTACTACAGTTATTATTATTACTGCACCTGTCTGTCTGTCTCTCTCTCTCTCTCTGTCTGTCTCTCTCTCTCTCTGTCTGTCTCTCTCTCTCTCTCTCTCTCTCTCTCTCTCTCTGTATGATGTAACACTGTACATATTGCCAAAGCAAGCGTTTGGAATTAAAAATAATAATAATAACAATAAAGGAAAACAATATTTACAATAAATTAATAATAATCAATAATCTATACTGTTGGTAATACTGTAACTATGATTGACTCAATCACAATCACAGTCACAATCAATCAATCTCAGTAACAGCAGTAAAGTAACAGACTACAGTTAAAACAAGTAGTCTGTTGTCAATATAACAGTAATAACAAATTATTAAATATAATATATATAATATTAAAATATATTAAAATTAAAATGTGTGTGTGTGTGTGTGTGTGTATTGAACAACAACAAAAACAACTACAACTAAAACAATCAATTATTTTATACATTTACAGAGTTTCCACTGGTTGTCCTCAGTTCGTGGAATGAGGAGACATATTTTGCTGCAATAATTTGACTTTTGGGCATTTCTCCCAGTAAATAGGGGAGTTTCTGTGTGTCTGATAATAATTCTAAATCGGGGTATATTTGGGAAATGTTTGCAAATTGTTTTTCTCTTAAAGTTTTGAATTTAGGGCATGAGGTTAGAAAGTGCAGCTCTGTCTCTACCTGTCCTCTGTCACACTGGGAGCAGAGTCTCTCCTCTTCTGGTAGCCAGTTCTGTCTGTGGCGACCCGTTTCTATGGCCAGGCTGTGTTCACTCAGTCTGTACATTGTCAACATTGTTCTTAGTTTAGGACATTTTATTGTGATCAGGTAATTTGCCAGTGTGAATTCTCTTTTTAGGGTCAGATAACATTGTAATTTACTTTGTGTTTTGGTCGATTCTTTCCAGTATTCAATATATTTTTCTTTTTGCTTGTTGATAATTTGGTTTGGTCTGATTGAGTTGGTGTTGCTGTCCTGAGGCTGTTGGGGACATGTTACTGCAGAGAGCCTCAGGACCAGCTGGCTGAGGGGACTCTTCTCTGGTTTCAGCTCCTGGTATGTTAGGGCTTTGTGATGGTATGTCTGGGGGTTAACTGATTTTAAGTGATTGTAAAATTGAATTGATCTTTTCTGTATTTTTAGTAGGAGGGGGTATTGACCGAGCTCTGCTCTGCACAGATTATTTGGTGTTTTTCTCTGCACCTGCAGGATGCTCTTACAGAACTCGCTGTGGAAAGATTCTATGGTTGTTTTGTCCCATTTGTCAAATTCATTATTTAGTTTTGGTCCCCAAATTTCGCTGCCATATAGAATTATTGGTTCTAGTACAAATTGGAAAATTGGAAAAAACAGATTTTGATTGGAATATAGATTTTAATGTTTTCTCTTTATTTCTCTCTCTCTCTCCCTCTCTCTCTGTCTCTCTCTCTCTCTCTCTCTCTGTCTCTCTCTCGTCTCTCTCTCTCCTCACCCCAACTGGTCGAGACAGACGACCACCCACCTAGAGCCGGAGGATCTGTCCTAGGTTTCTGCCTTTTAACAGGCAGTTTTTCCTTGCCCTTGTCTCCAAGGTCTTGCTCATGGTGGTACTGTTGGGTCTCTGTAATTAATGTTAAAGAGTTCGGTCTAGACCTGCTCTATTTGAAAAGTGTCCTGAGATAACTTCTGTTATGAATTGGCGCTATACAAATAAAATTGAATTGAATTGAATTTTAACTCTCAAACAATGCATGCTGGGAAGTCTGCTAATATGCTGATCATGTGTCTTTAAAAACTGAATTGAATTGAATTTGAATTGAATTGAAATGTCTTTAATTTACCCAAGGGGCAATTTGGTTCACAACAGGTAGCCAACACATACACATTCGCACAAAAACACATAAAAACATGAAATGATGAATAGATAAAAGCATAAATACACATGTGCGGTGTATATATATATAAATATATATATATAAAAATAAAAAATAAAAAGTGAAAAAATGCACTGTGACATGGACAGGGATGGAAGATGACCTATAGTTTGTTGAGAAACCCAACAGCTGATGGTACAAATGATCTCAGGTATCTGTTAGACCTGGCACGTTTTCGGGAGGTATACCTCCTTCCTGATGGTAGCAGGCCAAGCTCAGAGTGTAGTGGGTGAGTGAGGCCATTGCCCTCTGTGTGGCTCTGGCCTCATACACATACCCAATGCTGTTGAGGTCAGTGCCAATTATTTTATGACATATGTTTACAATTTTACACAGTCTGTTTGTGTTGATTAGACTCAAATTGCCGTAATAAATTGATTGAACATTCACTCAACTGAAAGTAGGAACTAGATATTTTCATTAATAGTTGGTTTGAATGAGAACGTTGTAGTTGACTCCACTAACTTCCTGTGTGAGCGTACCTTCAGTTCAGGCATGGTGACGATGAGGGTCAGAGGAACCTTGATGTCGGGGTTGTTGGTGAAATCCAGCGGCACTAAATGTGGAGCCAGCTCTCGATATCTGCCATGTAACCTGCAGAACAAAAACCCCGAAACCTCCTCTAGAGTCCCGATCAGCTGCTCACATAGACAGCTGATCCATTAATGCTAATGATGCTAATTGTCTAGCTAATTTGTAAAATCAGACTAAATTAAATTAATGAAA